TCTGTGTGTGTGTGTCTTTGTGTGTGTGTGTCTTTGTGTGTGTGTGTGTGTGTGTGTGTGTGTGAGAGAGAGAGAGAGAGAGAGAGAGATCCTTGCCCAGTTAAGTCTAATTGGATCTGGGAATTGTTCTGTTGCAGATTTATTAAGTATTTATGTTTCTCAGAGTATAAACACATTTGCACTGAGAAGTCACTGAGCACCTGGTGCTTAAAAATTAGCAAGTTAGCATAGCATAGGATAGCATAGCATTTTAGGTTTATATATCGCCCCACAGTGCTTTGCAGCCCTCTCTGGACAGTTTATAAGATCAGCATATTTTCCCCAACAATCTGGTTCCTCATTTTATCGAGCTTGAAAGGATGGAAGGCTAAGTCAACCTTGAACCTCATCAGGATCAAACTATAGGCTGTGGGCAGTTTGCCTGCAATACTGCACTTCAACCACTGCGCCGCCAGGGCTCTTCAAATTAACTAGCCTTAAAATCAAACCACATGATTTCCAATTACATATACAGCCCTTTCGTGAATAATCTTCCCTCTTCTTGTTTTTCATACGGCATTAAAAAAGAACTGGCAAAAAAACGGTTTAGGCGTATTTGAAACATAACTATCCTTCTGGATTTTGGCATTCAGAAGCAGTGACGTGTGACTTTACTTTTACTGACATTAAAATTCAGAGTAGGAAGGAAAAATTGCTCTTCAGTGACAAATAATTTCCTGCAATTTGTGTTGAATTTTCATATTCTGTAACACTGGGTTTTTTTTTCCATGAATGATGATGAGATGTATCTTCTATTTGCAAGATTGGAGAGAGCTTCTCTGTGTGTCTGTCTGTCTGTTTCTCTCACACAGAGACACCAGATTGTTACTGACAACAATTCCAATCTTCATCACAAAAATGGGAATAAGTATAAAGGCTTTTCCCCCTAAAATTACTGGTAGCTATTAGGTTTGATTGAAAAACTTGGGATTGAGAAATCCCAGCTATCAAGGGAAAAAAATCAGAACATATTACCTTGAACTGAATTTCCTGATTCAGCATTCCAAATAGCCAATTTAGTCAAACAGAGGAATCCTTTAAACAAATATTTTTAGCAGTGTCCGATAATTTTAAACATGCATGCTTGAATGCAGTCTTATGGTAGCTCACATCCCCAACATCCAGTCTATCGACTGGTTCCGGACCTCACATGCAAGAAGCGCCACCTGCAGGATGCAGGCAGCATGAGAAACCACGCCCCCCCCCCCTCCCCATGAGAAAACTTCTCCCCACAGAGTCGGTCCCTGGTGGCAAAAAAAAAATTATTGGTAATAAAGCTTTGGCCTTTGATATATCTGGGCTACAGTCCAGAATGCTCTTTTAGGAATCACTAAAAATTTATACACGCCCTAGATACATGATGGCGAAGTTATGGCACACATGCCCAAAGTGACATGCGAAGTCATGCCCAGCATGTGCCGCCTTGCCTGTCTGTCTTGCGGGTTTCTGATATGCATGCGCATGCAACGGTCAGCTGTCCACGCACGTAGTGCCGAAAACCGGTGTGCCCATGCGCACAGGCCAGCTGATTGTCGGGCGCGCATGCGTGCCAGAACCCAGAAGTTCAGCTTTTCTGTAGTGTGATCATTTTGCGCACATGGCCGTGCCAAAAACCAGCCTGCGCATGTGCGCCAGCCAGCTGATTGTTGGGCGCACATGCATGCTAGAAGCCAGAAGTTTGGCTGTTCTGGAAAGTGGCCCCGACGAGTGTGTGTGCGCTCAACATTTCCG